ATTTTCTTTACAGTATTTTTATTTTTAATTAACTTGCAGGCTGCTGTATACTGTGATCTGGGCAGCTCTCTAATTTTTATTTTTCCATATTGTCTGTATTTTAATATTTAAAGTTTTTTAAGTTTTAAAAGGTTTTTAAAATATTTTATATTTTTTAAAAAATAAAGTTTGATTTAATTTATCTCCTGTGGGACTGGTTTACTTCCCAAATGCCAGGTGGGGACAGATTGGTGATAAATCATCTAATAACCACAGCTTCATGCTACATAGCCAGAAGATGGCACTAATGACATTATTTCAATTTCTCTATTTGATTTCTTGACCTCCATAAAGGTAGCATGGAGTGGGAGAGCTCTATCTTTCACATTCCCTGGAGGAAGGAGGTGGGTGCCAGATGAGGTGGTGCACCATGGTGTCAGCAGCATTAAAGTAGGAAGACCCAGAGGATTGTTGAAAGATGAGGTTTAGGACCTCCAGTCTTTTATCCTGTGGGACTCGGCAATTTGCTACAGCATTAAAGGGATTTCTTTTGATCTGTAGATTTATAAGCATGTAAGCCTTTGTTTTATTTCAACCATTATTGAAGATAGCCCAGTGCTTCTGTTAGATGCAATCAGATTTGCAAATGTGTTTGTCATGATGCTGGAATCTCTCTTAGAACTGGAGCTACCTGATTTCTAGAAGGATTGGTGGCTAACTTTGACCCTTGACTCTTTGGGTATAGGAAGGGAACCCATGGTGAAGACAGTCAGTCTCTGTTTCCCATAGTTGAAACAAAGAGATGAACGGGGAAGAGGAAATGTGTTAGGCAAACGCACTGGAATGCATGTGCTAGCTATAACATGAGGAAACTAAAACGGTTCAGTGAGTGTCATTGCTGCTTCTGAAATTCCATAATTGCTAAAGGTTTTAGAGGACATTAGATTAAATTGATATTAATGTCTGTTTTTTATAATAATTTTTATTGAAGTTTAAAAATACAAAGATAAAAAACTAATAAAATTAAGAAAAATTAAAAATAAATAAAAAGTCCAATGAGAGAGAAAAAAAGGGGGGGAAGTACAAAGAAAGAAAAAAAATATATAGAAAGAAATGACTTTCCCCTTCATCAAGATAAGTACAATTTTAGTAACTCATCACTTTCTCTAACATTTCAACCAAAAATCTCTTCATCTCATATCTAATATTTTATTTATTAGCAAATAATAAAGCCTCATCATTCAAACTTAATCAGCAAAAGTCCATTAAGAGTTACCGGAAATAACAATATATATATACAGTGGAACCTCGGTTTACGAACTTAATTCGTTCCGTGACTCTGGTCGCACCCCGAATTGGTCGCAACCCG